TAAGTGAAAATGCTTAAATTTGGCTAATTATTATGCAAATTAGGTAATTATTATGGATGTATATAAACTGAAAACATTATATTAGATCATTGCAATGTCTTAGAGTATTTATGTCCCTGTCCAAGATTCATTGAAATAAGATAAGTACTTGAGATATTGATGGAAAAGCTGAAAACTGACTAATTATTATGCAAATCAGGTAATTAATATGAACAGATTTTGATGTAAAACTAATTAGGTCTGTACATTTTCCAACAGCATCACTGAAATGTGATGATTAGTACTTGAGATATCAGTGGAAAAGCCAAAAAATACTAATCATTAAGGACATTAGGTGATTAATATCCACAGATTTGTATTTAGGGTTGTACATAGTCCTAGGGCATCTATGTACCAAGTGTCATTGAAATATAATGATTAGTACTTGAAATATCAGTGGAAAAGCCAAAATATCAATAACTATGCAAATTAGATAATTAATATGCATGGTTACTGACCCCAAACTTATCAGGTGCATTGTCCTATGACATCTATGTACCAAATTTTATTGTAAAATGATTAGTACTATAGATAGTGGAAATAAATTAGTCATATTATTCCAGCTATAAATTTACTTGTGTTTCTCATCTCGGTTCATGGCAGAAAAGTTAGAAATATATGATATACCATGCAGCAATCAGGTGTACATTATTCAGAATAATACTTCATTGCACAACTATTTTTGATACAACCATATTTTTTGGTTATTTTTCTATTATGCATAGAATATATTGTTCCCTCACAGAAACAGCAAAAATTAAAACAAAATTAGAACCCAGTGAATACTTGTTTCAAAATAATGAGACATCACATAGTATTTCAGATATTGTGGTCAAATTTCTTCAAGTTGCATGCATGAAGTTATGATTTTTTCAAGAATTTAAGTAGTCAAAGTTCTTGTAGAAGTTTTTTATTTTATTTAACATACAGATATATATATTTGATCAATAATGAATAAAATAAACATTTTCAGTAATGTAACATCACATGATTTGCCTTTTGGAATCTTTCAGTATGAATTACAAGCTGACAACAAATTTGTTACATCTTACAAATAAGTGCAATTACAATTTATATATTTATCATACATTGAACATTCTTATTCATACTTATACTCTCACTTTTGCCCTTGCAGCACATCAAGATTTATTTTGACTTGTGTAAATATGCCACAATATCACCTGGACTGTTTAGTAATGTGAATATAAATATAAGTGTCCAGTTTGCAACAAAGTTGATATGGTGAAATTTAAAGGTGACCAATGGATGGTGGACTAATTCTTCACACAAAAATATTGGCTGTACATGAACATCATTTTGTACTATGGAAATGTCATGTATGACAGACCATCAGGTGTGGCAGTTTTAAAAAATAAGTTTAAATTTACCAATGACAGACAATCAGCACTATGCATAGTCAATGACATTTCGTGGAAATAAATTCACTTTAAATAATCAACTCTCCCACATGGGTTTCAATATTTCAAACAATTGTCTACTCTGCTGATGTGTTCTGGGAGTAAAAATGACGATCTTCATAATGTGATCCAGAAATTGCTCCAAAGTGTCATCATTTGTATAGCTTGGTGTCTACGTGTGATGCTCCAGCTCTCATCAATCTGCTATTAGTTTAATTAGTTCTTCCTAAAATAGATATATCGTGATATTAAAAATGAATGTTGAGATGAACTATGACGTTTAAGGCATACATCAGCATTTGTAACTTTATTCTCGCTCAAGGCCAGTGTATTCATTGACCTCAAAATTGACCTCAAAGGGGTAACTTTTTACAAGCAACAGCTTTTAACTCCTCTGTTTTTTTGGCTTGACTGATTTTGTTAATACTCACCACTGACATGATAGCAGTCAAAAACTGATTTATGAATACTTTGGCCCCAAATTTATTACCTCCTACCAGTCTAATAGCAGTGTTCCAAATGATCATGCTTTTTATTTTGG